AAACCATCTAATTTTGAGTCGTCAGCTGCTGATGTTAATGAATAGCAGTTGTGCTGATGGTCTTCTGACGTGGAGATCGTAGTCTTAGGATGGCTAGTCGAGGTGACACGATCTCATGAGAATCGACAAGATGGACGATAGATGGGTGGACGACAAAGCCAACGTCTCCAACGTTTCGTGGAACCTTCTCACCACAAATGATGAGGTTCTCATCACTCATCTGTCGCACGTCCTTCTTCCTGGACGTTTTTCGCAGAGAGATGAGACTGTCTTAGCATTGCAAGTGCAGAGCATGAGGCAGTGTTAATGGCTTGTCGTCCGGGCAGACGTGTCGTTTTTGTCCTATCTAAAAGGCGCCCTGAAGATCTGACATCCTTGCTACCACCCGGCGCCGTAGGCGGGATCCGATGTGCAGGGTTTTTTCATCTCTTCTTGCTGACGTAGTAAGAAATTTTTCCCCTACAAGAGCAGACTTACTAGGTCTACTCTTGATTTTCCACGGGACGATCGTTAACCGGGTGTGGGGCCAGGGCCCGGCACGCGTTGGTTTGGAACATTTTTGGAAACGAAGTCCCTCATGACTTCGTGAAAATTTACGAATTCCCTTTTGACGTAAAAATCAATATAGAAACCCTTATACATCAACATGGCAATAGAAAAGCGAAAAAGCGCATTATGAGGTACCTGATTTACCAAAAAAGCAAAAAAAACATTCTGAGTTATTAAAGGCTTTGTCATTGAGTATGGTACCATTTTGGTGCTCAGAATGTCGAAAACCCCCTAAGCAAACCAAATATGTGGCCTCAACCATCTGGCGATGCTTTTTTCGCCACATAGTTCAAAGGACGCCGCATGTGATTGAAGCGCGATATCTATGAAAGCTTTCATAGCTTTATTCCTAAAGCTTTATTCCTTACCATTACTGGTTGTCTTTTTTCTGAAAAGTGAACCGATGTGCTGCTGATCAGCATACAATAATATTTCTGACCAGCACCTTGTATTTTTCAAACATTTCCTTTTCTTTTTTACATCACCCTGCCTGTTTTTGGAATTACCATGGAAGATGTGCATGCGAGAACATTTGTTTCGGAAAGAGTTAAACAATCTTTAGACATTTACAAATATTTTTGAATGAAGAAATTCTTATTTCTGTAGATGAACAGCAACAAGCAAGGGAAATGTTTTTGAAACCACCTTGTCTTCCGCTTTTAGAGAATATACAGGGTGTCCCAAAAAAAAAATGTATCGAACGTTTGATCGTTAATATCTCGCTTCCCAAGAAGTCTTTTGCCTTGCTTCAGGTACCGTTTTGTAGAGCTGGCTTCAACTTAGGTTTGCATTGTGGAACGAATCACCCATCTTTCTTCATTACTGTAGGATTACGGTAGAAACTTGAAGCATATGGTGTCAATGTGGAAAAAGCTGCCGTTTCAAAATTTTTCAAAAAAATGTGAAAACTTGTGTATGGGGTTTTTATGGACGCTGAGTTCAATACTCAACTATTCACAAGATTACGAAGCTTTCTAAACGGTGTAACCGCATTTTTTAGGAACGTTGAAAAATGGCCGCTGCCTCTTACCTGGCATAACTCTTCAATGAAGCATCATAATAAATTGGACACCTTCCAGTTATAATCAGCAACTCTAATTAGCCTAGTGTAAAAGTTTTCAGGCTGTTTTGTTTCCTTCCTGGGGCAAAATATGGCCTTTCATTGCTTAAAACCCTCTTTGAAGTTTCTACCGTAATCCTACAGTAATGAAGAGAGATGTGTCATTCGTTTTATAATGCAAATCTAAGTTGAAGCCAGCTCTACAGACTGGTACCTGAAGCAAGGGAAAAGACTTCTTGGAAAAGGAGATATTAACGATCAAACGTTCAATACATTTTTTTGGGACACCCTGTATATTAGGTTGGCACATCGGCAAATGACTTTCTTTTCAATTAGTATCGGTTTTTGAAAAGTATTGCTCGCTTGAGTAAAAAATCTCAAACAACAAACTTCAACTTTGAGGGAACGAAAGAATATAATCATTTTTTTGTGATTCTCAAAAACTATTGGCGCGTGCTTGCGAGTATGTAATTAATCCTTATGCTTGTGACGTTTGAATCACCTCACGCCTCTCTCCATTATGCTGATGTACAATCAAGTAGTCCGCTTACAAGAGAATAGTCGGAAATGGAAGGGCCCAATCCAAACAAGCTGCTTACCTTTAGATGCAACATGAAACGCTGACTTCGAATCTGTATTCTATATCTGCTTAGCGCCGATATGAGCGAAGTTATAAGCAGTTAAAAGCCGTTCTTATGCTAAGAAAATCTCTTACAATGCGCAAATTTGGCAGTATAGAGCCATATTCGACTTAATGCTGTGCCAAAACATGTAGATAAATTACTTTATATTCTCAAAGCTTAGAGGTGAAAATGCAACAATGTGCTCAACTCTGCAATTTTCATGTATGATTTTTTCGCAATGAAACTGCTCTACAAAGGCGCTAAGCAGATATGGAAAACAGATTTGAAATCAATGAATGTGCTGCACCGAGTGGTATGCAGCGTGCTTGGATTGGCCACTTCAACTTCTGATCAATCCCCTGTTAATATAGTGTGCTCGCACTGCAGGCGAAATCTGAACTGAAATTCAAAAAAATTTGCGCGTGAACAAATAGCTGCGCCTATGAGCGGGCCAACTGCATGCGCGAAATGCCGGCATTACTGGCAATGGCTATTTGTTTGTTTGGCAAGTTTCATCGCATTTTATAGTAGACGTCATCCGTCTAGTTACGTCGGTACGATGTGTGTTACTGCACACAAATTTGAAGTCCTGGATGAGGCGCTGGGGTCCCGCTATATCGTGCTTACACCAAGTGCACAGTATGGTTAAAATTTAACGTCAAGCTGTCTATTTTTTATATTTTCATGCTTTATTCCGCTCTTAGCTTCACACACGGTCTGGTTTTCGGTTATTTGTCGTTTTTATATGCATGCATGCCGTTTCACATCGAATATCACAATAACACTTTTACTTTCAGGAGAAGGCAGAAGATGGGCAAACTTGCAAGATTCTAGAGTAAGTCTGCTTTCGTCAATATTGTCGTATATAGAAAAAGCAGAGTATCCTTTGAGCAGTATTAGTTTCAAATTCCTTCTCATTGATATTAAAAGCTGTGGTTTTTTATGCTGAGCTTGTTTTGAGTAGCTTTTCTAGATAGAAAGTTGAAACTCGTACTGCCTAACAGATACCCTACTCTTTCTTCTTAAAAGCAGACTACTTTGAAATTTTGCAAGTTTGCCGATCTTCTGCCTCCTCCTGAAAGTAAAAGTGATAAATTTTGAGATACTCGATCTGGAACGTCATGCATGGCGTATAAAGGCGACATATAATCGAGAACTAGACCATGCGTAAAGCTAAGAGCAAAAAAAACATCAAAATGGAAAATAAGCAGTATGGCGTCAAATTTTAGCCGTACTATGCACTTGGTGTAAAGAAGGTACGGCGGGACACCAGCGCCTCATCCAGGATTTCAAATTTGTGTGCAGTAACACACATCGCACCGAGGTGACTAGACGGATGACGTCTACTATACCTCTACTTTTCTAGATCAGCGATTTGACCTGAAGAGGGAGTATAAATGATTCCGAAATTGTTGCAAAACGGCGAAGATTGAGCGTGCCAATCATTGTGTAAGGTTATTATTCTAAGGTATGTGTGACTTCAAAAGTTTTCGTTTTATAGGACTGCTTTTATGCAACTTGTGCGCATCTTGCCATTTTGGTTGCGAAGCAGCAACTGATTTCATTAACTCTGCTCTCATGGCTTCTTTTGTAAATTGCTTCTCATTTCGTGAAAGGCTAGGTAAATTATTTCGTATGATCACGTGTGCCCTTGCACACGTGATCATAATCTTTGGCGTCCCAATCCTGGATTCTTGGAGCAGGCGACCTTTCAAATAAGTATCTAGAATGTACCCAGTGTTTTTTTTCCTTTTTGGGTACCAAAGATCTCAAAGTAGGTAAGTTATAGCAACCGGCCAGTCTCTTGCGTTTTTGCCATTCAAATCCAGGATGGGGACGCCAAAGATGGACGGTGTATGCAATACACACATGATCATATGAGATGACTCGACTGTAAACTCCACAGGAATGACTTCAAATTTCAATTTTTCTACACCGGTCACAAATTTAATTCCGAACTCTATGGTTCATCATGAAGTACTTAAACAAATTTTTGTACAGATGATTGTGCATATTTTTCTTTTCCAGTTTCCTTCATTTGCTCTTGGATGGTCATCGCGACTTTCCATCTTGAATTGGTTTCCGTTTTGGTTTTCATCTTAGTTTTTCTCATTGGTGGTTACGTTGCTTTTGACTAGTCGGTTTCGGTAATTAGAATAGATGCTGACTGGCTCCAGTCTGGTGCAAGCAATCTTCGTTCAGAATTATCATTTTCGTAATCATGCATATCCGTTTATTTATCGAATTGACTAATACGTGAGTATCTCTTACCTTTTCTGCTGAGCACCGTGATTACATTGCTCCATCTTCATGCAACTGGTCTCACTCATGCTGAAACACACAGGCCCCGGCCAGACTTAGCTCGAAAACGCCAAAAAGCGCCCAAAAGCGCTCAAAAGCGCCTAAGCGCTCAAATCTCTCCAATGTCTCTTCGCTTTCTCGTGCGAGAAGAAATGAGAGAGATCAGAAAAATTTGGGCGCTTTTTGGCGTTTTCGAGCGAAGTCTGGCCGGGGCCTGTGTGTTTCAACACGAGTGAGAGCAGTTGCATGAAGATGGAGCAATGTCAGTCAATGTCAGTCACGGTGCTCAGCTGATAGAAAAGATAAGAGATACTCACGTATTAGTCAATTCGATAAATAAACGGATATGCAGAATTACGAAAATGATAATTCTGAACGAAGATTGCTTGCACCAGACTGGAGCCAGTCAGCATCTATTCTATTCTAAGCATTGTGTTTTTGTCGTTCAGGAAGCGCTAGCGACAAAGATGAAAGAAGTAACTTCCATTGATCTACAGCAAATCAAAAATATCCAAAACGCAATCGACTCAATGAGACCATCATCAGACTCAGTTGTGAGGACCCTAGCTGGAATCATAAAAGAACAAAGCAATATCATAGCTGGACTAGTTCTGGCTGTAAGTAAGGTAGATCCAGAACGGAGGGTCAAATGCAGTTCTTTAGATAGACGCTATTCTCTCCAATCAACAAGAACATGGTGAGCAATTACGAAAAACGTCATATCACATAGCCAAAGGCAAGGAGATCACACTATTACGAAAAACGAAATATCACATAGCCAAAGGCAAGGAGATCACACTACCGAAGGATATGAATTTGAGCGAAAGAGTTTTACGAAGTTCTGGAAATTCAACGGCTTTCCTCCATTCAAGGTTAGCTGTTGCATTTGTTATCGATACACCAGCACTTAATTCTGTTCCAGAATGCCAACATAATAGAGTTTTTCAAGAACTGGACGCCCATCTAGGGCACACAAGCATGAACATTTTTTGTTAGTGGTGGTCTACAGGTTCTATTTTTTGAGTGTAAATGAGACTAAAATTTCGAGTCTATCCTGATCGAGAAGTGCGCACTTAGGCCTGTGAGTCAAAACAAGAACTTCAAACGTTTGCATGCAGACAATCCGATAAAAGGGGAAGATTTCATCATTTGCACGACCTGTCTTCATCATTTGCACGACCTGCCCGAAAGTCTGGTTACATTTTTGATAAGTGAGTGATTGATGGTCTTTCTAAAAATTCTAATATAGATCTTCCAGATTTCGTTCTCGATGGTGTTGGCCTCTACGCAGAAGAACTTCAACTGAGTGCTGCTGAATGCGCGCGGAAAAGAAATATGTACAGATAATAGTGTTTCTACCCCTTGATATCTCATTAATTTAAATTTTGGCTGGGCTTAGAGAACGACGACAAGACTAGGACAAAGATGTTTGAAAAAATGTCCGAGGCGAGGCTGAAGTGAAATGGAACAGCGCGAGTGGCTACAGGGAGAGCTTTGTGGGTTTCTTTCAAAGATTGTTTTTCATAAATCTATTGCTCTGAATTTCAGGGCAAATGTGCGAGCATATCATTTTGATGCTGATAAGGAGATACTGTCGCCACGTTCGGTAATATTCATATATGATTTCTCAAATCAGTTAGATTGTCACTTTTTTTCCAGAAGAAACGTTTCTGCCCTACTGCTACACATGCTTCTTTGGCGCACAAGCAAGCGAATGAAGGGGAACATGAGCAAGACGAACAGCACGTCGAAAGTGTGAACTCTATTTCAATCATAGATTTAATCTCAAATATTGATCTCCTACATTCCGCATTGTTTCGATTGACTTTGTTATAGTGATTACAATGTTTTTTCGATCACGGAAGTTAATAAATAGTGGTTCTGAACTCTGTATCGAGCATAGCACCTTTGTAACATGTGTATAGTATGAATTTTTGATTACTTTTACAGGAGAACCATTAGGAGAAAAAGCCCAGCCGGCGAGCCGATCGAATCGCTGCTATATCGCGTCTCCCGCAGGAGACTGCAGCGCGTAGAGCGGGAGTCCCGCCGGTGATTGGATCGCGACATTATAGAGACTACCGCAAAAGCTCCCGGTCTTCTCAGAAGAAGCTTCGGGACAAAAGGGGTGTCGCGCAGGATTATCATCCCGAACGGAATGCAGGAGCCCGATTTTCTCGCAAGCCATTTCACTTGTGTCCCGCAATCATTCCGTCGAGACTCAACTTTTTCACCGGCGGAACTTAACCCCGAATGTCTGAGTAGAGGCCGCTCGGTGAGCTCGTACTTCACATAAAGTAGAGGGGCCAAATTTTGGTCTCATTAACAAATTCTTCAGATCCGTCTGATTGCTTTGAATAATCCTTACGATGGAAATATGCGTGCAATACATGGCGCAGATCTCCAGTGCTATCGCGAAGCAAGAATGGTTGGATTCACAACCACCTTCCGCGAAATGCTAACAATGTGCAGGTAAGCATCCATAACTCAGTGCGAGTGATTGAAATTTTTTTTTTCTTGAGGACTGATTTTGTTCATATAGCCGATTGGGACACACCTGTAGTGAACATTCATGATGAGCTTTGCAATGAAGTAGAGGCAAAATTCAAAACCATAATTTCAACTGAACACGAACTTCTACCTTCTGTGAAGCTATGATACTCTCGAAATCTTCAGTATATGGTAGGCACACTAACACAGCTCGTACAAGGCACGAGCTGCATTGTGTACAATTCGAGCGATTAACAATAGACTGGTAACTGAAAAGTGGCAAACGCCGCCCTTACTGACCTAGACTCCCCTGTTTGAACATCTGCTGTAGTTTTTGCTCTCGTTGATGCATTGGACCCCAAAATATTATACTAAGTCTGGAAATGTTTGAAAATTTCTCAACAACTCAAAATTTCTTTAAAGACATTACTAAGAGTTTTGTGACAGTCCAGACAAGCGCATTGGCATGGGACGAAAAGCGGAGAAATACGCGCTGGAGGCTATTGTCATGATTGGCGATCCAGTTACGGCGCGGATCCCCAATGCTATCGCGAGGCAAGAATGGCTGGTTTTACAACTACCTTCCGTGCAATGGCTTTCTAACGATGTGCAGGTAAGCATCAAGCATAACTCAGTGCAGGTGATTGAAAATTTTTTTGAGGATTTGCTCCGAATTGTCCACACAGCCGATTGGGACACTCCGGTAGTGAACGTTCGTGGTGAGCATTTATTCGCAAGTTGGAGAGCAGTGCTCAATGATGGGCAACGCACAACTCGTCCACTGTACTTATTTGATTAGCGTGAGGTCATTGTTGATGACCATAGGTGAGTGGTTTCTATTAAGTTGGTGAAGAAGTTTTCGGACATTGCACTAGACAAAGTTTTTGCCTCGTTGGAAGTACTATCTGAGGCATATGGCATTTCAAAATTTTAACAGAGGAAACCAATCCCTACAAATCCACATCAAGCACGTGTATTATCTATGTTTCGGATCGAAATAGAGGCGAAAATTCGAAAACATAGAATACCGATTGATATGGTAGCCACTAGGACCGCCACGACCTGTATTGTACACAATACGATTGTAAAGAACAAAGCGTCAGTTGGAATGAGGCAAACTCCGTCCCTACCGACCCTAGACCCTAGGCTACGTGCCAGAATACAACTTTTCGCTCTGAATGCATTGATCGTACGAGTTCGGAAACTTTCTCATCAAGCTAAAAGCTGTCTGAAGACATTGGCAACAATTTTGAAACAGGCCAGATAAGCGCATATGGCACGGTACGAAAAGTGGTGGCATACGCGCTGGAGACTACTGTAATGATTTTCGGTCTAATTACGTTGATTTTTTATGAAAAGGTTGAGGTTATTGAAGCACTAATTCATGTCCAGGTTCGCTGTCCGCTATGGCCGGAGATTTGCGAATCCCAGGTGTTTGATTGTAGAAGCTCGGCCAACCAGCTGCGACCACAGACTTATCGTTCTCTGTGTGGAGGTAAAGAGATTACATTACCCACGACGCAAATTAGTTTTTTGCGACATAATCCAATCTGAAACTGCGTTTTTCCCACGTACTTTTCACATCCAAATCTTTTCTTGCAGATAATGTCAAAATATAACACTGACCGAATTCTCAAGAAGAAACGATTGCTTGTTTTCGTTTTCCAAGTCACTACTCACGCCACGAGCTATATCAGCCCACTGCGTCTTAAGGAACGGTACTGTACTGTAGGCGTCAAATCGCAGTTTGCGCATTTTTTTCTATCCCTGAAACACACTTCAATAAGGAGTCTGCCATCATGTCCGGTGTTGTTCTTGTCATTCCCTCCGTTGTAATAATTTCACCTGTATTTTGTATATTCATCGCCCGTATAAGGTGATGTGTCATTGAAATCACACCGGTTAACTTATTTTTCTTATTTTTTCTAGATGATTTTCATGCAATAATACACAAATGCCACCGAAATCTTTCACTAAGTTTTGGTTTAGGTCGCTTCTATATGTGCAATGTTGTATAAATTTGTTCAGGATACTGAAAACTATAGGCAGTGGCTCGGCAAATCTCATACTAGTCAAATTTTCGCTTAGGCCTAAGGCATACCTTCCGCGATCTCAGTCGCGTCGCAAACTCCAAAGGGGACATATGTTCCGAGTCCGCAGCGCAACAGTGTGGTCCCGCCGCGTCTGTGTTAGATTGACGCCGCGACGGATCGCGGACCGTTTTTGGACGGGCATACCTCGGCAGGGAAATCGTCGCGACATCGCTGAAACTCAGCGATGTCGCCGTCGCTAGGTCCGACCCAGCGATGAGCGAATCGCTCGGATAGCGAATCGCTCGGATCTTCTTGTTTGTTATGAAGTTTTGTATTTTTTTCCAATGCAAATTTCATTTAGGACTACTCCATCTCACACAAGCGCTTCCTCTCTGCATGAGAGAAGGATGATCATCGAACATTCCATACTATTAATCCTGAAAACAACACATGCGAGTTTTATAGTATGGAATGTTTCCCACATGTCGCCTCACCCTCTTCGTTAGCATTTACTGTTCTCGCAATGTGTTAATCTTTTCCTGTTCTTGTTTATTGATTATGCAAGTAGTGACCGAATCTCAAATGTTCCTACTATAATTTCCGAAGTGGATAGAATAGATGTGCAATTTCGGTCGCTCAGACATATATCGTTCATTGTCTGACTAAGAGGCACGAGCACGCTTCGCGTACGTTCCGTTTATGGGTTGCTAATGCGTTTTAACGCTTGATAAGTCACTATTGGGAATTCGTGCATAAACATGATCGAACTCGCGTTGTTTTACGAGCTTGAACATGTCACCAAGAACCTTACTCGTAAACTTGTTAATTAAACGTACGCAAACTTGCTGGTGTCTTTTATTCAGAAAATGAATTGAATGATTTGTATAAGCGTTCGCAGATTGACAGACAAGAGCTCGCCCAGCACTCGTTGTTGAAAAGCCTACTCAGAATTTTCTAAAAAGACAAAAGAATGATTCTACAACAAAGCTAACCTATATGCCTACCACTTACTGAAAGAGAACTCAAAATTTTATGAACTAGTCGATTGTGTCGCAGATGTAACTACTAAACTTGCGCCAGTAGACATTGGTAAATACTGGGATGTGTGTGAATTCTCCTTTATTGTTTGATGTAATGTTCTCTTGAGGCATATGGCGCCACATTCTGCTCGAAACTCCTCGAATTTCAGAGAATTTAGCGCAAGTTTTCCAAAACTGCGTATAATGCGGTGTGGTGTGTGAGCGTTCACAAAATCGCTACGAGTATGCCCAAGAGTCGAGCGATGGGCGATTGTGACGCAATGAACGGTCGCCTAGGCAGTCTGGTCGCAGCGACCGAAAATCGTGACGACTGGATCGCTGGAGGTATGCCTTAGGCCTTAGGGTTGTTTCATACTGCCGCACTGACTGCAGCAGACTGCAGCAGATTGCACTGACCGCAGCAGACTGCAGCTGACCGCACTGACCGCAACGGCCGCACAATCGCTGCATCCTTCGTAAAAGAGAAAATAGTCGTCAATACATCAAAACACCGTGATTTACGCCTAGTTACAGGTTCTAATTTACTCTTCTCAATCAAATTTTGGCGATTATTTCTCTTTAACATACTCATATTTGTTCAGATTCCTTTTGCCATTGTATATACCTATTTTACTACCGCTCGTGTTGTCTATTGGGGCATATATTGTTAAGAGACTGTTCGAGATACAACTATTTATCCTCTCCACCTTCACAAAAGGATGTAACGATCTGTGCGGCCCCTGCAGTCTGCTGCAGTCTGCTGCGGTCAGTGCGGCAGTCTGAAACAACCCTTATCTAGGGTTATTCAATACGCTGATTCCGAAAATCCACTTTTGAGAGCTTGAAAACGCTGAAAACGAGCGTTTTCCAATGCCCTTCCCTTTGGAGTTGGACGAGTGCAGCAAGGCTGATGACGCCGAATCTTTGCAGGGCCCAATGATTATAGCATTGCGGCGGGCAGCCTCCAATGGTGAGAAGGGAATTGCCAACTCGTCCGGATGCGTGTAAGAATGGCCTGCGCGTGTAAGTTTGAGAGCAATTTTCTCGGCAAGGAAGGCATGCTGTGCAACCGGGATTGCACTGTTTTCATACATGGGCAATAAGGAGTTTACCGCGCTAAAATTTTGAGTTGTTGAGTTTTGCCGACCCACTGCCTTTGAGTAATAATATTTTTTAAAAACAGAATCTCGTCTTGAAGCTTTGCTCTGCAGAAAGTCATGCATGTGTCTTTTGAAGCACTGCTATCAAAAATTTTTTGGCGTTTACATTACTGTGTTATTATAGAGCACATATTGGTCGTCGCAATATCTGTTCATTCATGCGTTTTTCAAAATTGTGATAGAAAATGTTCAATTGGAACTAATGTATGCAGATACAGAGTTCCTAGTTCAAAGAATTATACCACGATTTTGATTTCCGGGTTGGAGCTACGGAGGACCCTGCAGATCTCCACCAGTCATATTCTTAAGAAATGGAATAAAAATCAGGTTCGTCTTTTTCCCGCTGATAGTTTCAACGTTTGCTTTTTTCTATCTATTAGGCTGTTAACTAATTCTTGCAACTGAGTCTATAACTTTTCGCTTTTTGGTGGTGGCGCGCATTTTGATATTGTGTAGATTGCCGTTTGAGCTGTGAACTGACACGAACCGCACTTTTCTGATAACAAAAATAAAAATTCGAGGCTTTTTCAAAAATGGGTGAAATTTGAGGATTCATGGAGATTTAAGCCGTTCTCAATCTAGATCATGCACATTAATCTCAAAGTGTGCATAAATTGTTGCTAGAGATCGGCTCATCTAGCGCAGTAAGGAAGAAATGGAATTCGAAGACAACTCAAGATATTTGGCGCCCTCACAAATTTGAACTAGCTGTCATATGCAGGGTTGAACGTGGGGTCAGGCGCGCCAGACCTGGGGGGTCGTACTGGAGTAAGACAGAGGGGGGGGGGTCGTGATTAGGAATCGAATTCGTTCGAATGAGGAGATACTACGATTAAGGAAGGTGAAGAAGAAAAGCGCTAGTTTAGTGGATATCGCGACCTCACCAGTACTGAAGGAATGAACGGTCTTAAACAGCATACTGATTGATTTCACAATCGAAGTTTCGGCCAAAACTCAAATCTTCATCTTCTACCTTGACATATTATAAATTCATCAAGGAAGCTTGCTGTGTGAAATGGGTATCATTTCCGAGCACGTCAAATTACCTCTATGAGCCCTACAAACCATTATTTGCTGCATTATCTAGTGTTTCTCAACGACTAAAAAGCGTGATTTTCAAACATGATTAACTTGTTTTCAAAAGTGAGAAAAGTCAATTTTTTTGTACTCGTAACAAAGTATTGTTCCCCACTAGTCTAGGCTAAAAATCGCGCTTTGTATCGCTTGCAAATAGTGGAGTAAGAAATAATGCCAAAATTCCGACCGGCGCGTTTTTCGCCATGACTGCTTTAACTCCACGGATTACCACAAGAATCAAGTCCAAACACTTACTGTGGAATTTTCGAGGGTTGTGCTAGCGATTCACATAAAACTTGAATAAAAAAGCTTCTTCAATGATAAAGTTAATCGGGTCAGGCGCAACCCCACAAAAGGTCAGGCCGCCTGAGCTTTTGAGGGGTTGCGCCTGACCCGATTAACTTGTTTTCAAAATCTAAAAATCGCTCCATTTCTGCTATGAGTATTGAACTCAAAGCCTCTTCTTGCAATACTGCAAATTTGGAGCCAAACAATACACCCCTGTGGGAA